GTATCATCTGCATATCTCAAGTAATTAATGAGTCTTCCTCCAATCCTGATGTCACACTCTTCTTTATATAATCGACCTTCAGAATACTGCTCAGCATACAGACTGAATAAGTATGGTGAAAGAATACAACCCTGACACATACCTCTCCACATCAGCACAATTAAGTGTTCTAGAATACCCATACTTCGCAGTTTTATCCATTGTTTGTTATGACCCACACAGTCAAAAGCCTTTGCATAGTCAATAAAGCACAAATAAATATCTTTCTGGTATTTTCTGCTTTCACCGAGATCCACCTGACATCAGCAATGATATTCCTCATTCAATGTCCTCTTCAGAATCCAGTTTGAATTTCTGGAAGCTCCCTGCTGAAGTACTGTTGCAACCATGCTCAAATTATCTTCAGCAAATTTTACTTGCATGTATTATGTATATTGTTTGATGACTCCCAAGTTCTGTTAAGTCACCTTTCTTAGGAATGAGCACAAATATGGATTTCTTCCAATCAGTTGGCCAGGAAGCTATCTTCCAAACTTCATGGCATACCTGAGTGAGTGCTGCATCAGCTTGATGAAAGATTTCAATTTATATTCTGTAAATTACTGGAGTCTTGTTTTTTGCCTATGCCTTCAATGCAACTTGGACTTCTTGCTTCAGTACCACCAGTTCTTGATCATATTCTACCTCTTGAAATGGTTGAACATCAACTATTTCTTTTGGTATAGTGACTCTGTTAACATTGTCCATCTTCTTTTGATGCTTGTTGTATCATTCAATTATTTTGCCCATAGAATCCTTCAGTATTGCAACTTGAAGCTTGAATATTTTCCTCAGTTCTTCTAGCTTGAGAAATGCTGAGTGAGTTCCTCCTCCCTTTTGGTTTTCTAACTCCAGGTCTTCGTACATTTCATTATAATACTTGATTTTGTCTTCTCAACCTGCCATTTGAAATTTTCAGCTTAGCTTTTTTACTTCATTTCTTAAATTCACTTTATCATATTTTTACTAGAGGCCAAATTTCAAAGTCTCTTCTGATATCCTTTTTTTTTCTTTCCTGTCTTTTTAATCAACTTTTGCTTTCTTCCGTTATGATGTTCTTGATATATCCCACAACTCTCCTGGTCTTTGGTCATTAGTGTCTAATGCACCAAATCTGTTCTTGAGATGATCTCTAAATTCAAGTGTTGTATGAACGTGCTTTTCCTTCAGCTTCAGACTGAATTTGCACATGCACAATTGAGCATCTAATCAAGTCTTCCCCTAGCTTTTTTGGTTGATGGTGTTGCGCTTTTCCACGGTCTCTTTTCACAGATGAAGTCAATCTGGTTACTGGTTACTACTGTTCTATCTGGTGAGGTCCATATGTAAAAATTTACCTTTTTTTTTTTTTGGATGTGCTGTTGGATTCTGTTGGCTAGGATTTTGTTGAGAGTTTTGCATTTATGTTCATGAGGGATATTGGTCTATAATTTTCTTTCTTACTGATGTCCTTCCCTGGTTTTGGTATGAGAGTTATGCTTGCTTCATAAAATGTATTAGGAAGTTTTCCATCCTCTTCTATATGCTGGAATAATTTGAGTAGAATTGGTGACAGCTCTTCCCTGAATGTTTGGTAGAACTCACCAGTGAAGCCATCTGGACCTAGACTTCTTTTGGTTGGGAGTTTTGTTGGTGACCTGATCAATTTCTTCTTTTTTTAATGGGTCTGTTCAAATCTTCTACTTCACTCTGTGCAAGTTTAGGTAGCTGGTGTTTTTCTAAAAATGTATCCATCTCTTCTAAGTTTTCAAGTTTGTTGGAGTACAACTCTTCATAGTATTCTGTTATTATCCTTTTTATTTCCTTTGGTTCCGTTGTGACATTGCCCATGTTGTCTCCAATGCGTGTGATTTGTGTCTTCTCCCTCTTTTCTTTTGTTAGGTTTGCCAATGGTCTGCCAATTTTATTAATCCTTTCAAACAACCAGCTTCTTGTCCTGTTGATTGTTTCCATAGTTTTTCTGGTGTCTTTTTTTTAGCTCATTTATTTCTGCTCTAATCTTTATTATTTCTTTTCTTTGCTGACTGTAGGTTCCCTCTGTTGGTCTAATTGTTGGAGATGCTGTGTTAATGTGTTAATTTTGGTTCTTTCTTCTTTTTTGGATGTGTGCATTTATTTCAATAAATTGTCCTCTCAGCACCAGCATCGTGTATAAGTTGTTAAAAAAGGTATTTGTAATGAAGAAGTCATTGGTCTTACAAAATTCTGTCATTTGATCTCCAGCATCATTTTTGACCCTTCCTCTTTGTTTTCAACCTTCACATTCTAATCACCAGTAACTATCTATACATGTTTTTGTTTTTAATGAAAAGCAAACAATTTACTGTGTACTAAGTGAATGTTTAGAGAAGATCATCAGTTTTACACTGAACAAATCACACTTTGTTTCATCTCAATGACTGCCATCTTCTCAATCAACAACAGTTATCCTGCTTCCTCCCAGTGGTCCCTATTTCCATTCAACCCTCTTTCCAATCCCTTCTCAATTTGTCCTTAGGTAAATGTTGCCCTTTTGATCTTGAATGACTGACCATTCCATGTTGTTGTTGTTGTTAAGTACCGTGGAGCCAGTTCTGTCTCAGTGACCCTGCAAAGGGTTTCTGAGGCTGTAAACCTTTACAGGAGCAGAAAGCCTCATCTTTCTTCCATGGAACAGCTGGTAGTTTTGAACTGCCGAACCTGAGGCTAGCAGCCTGATTCGTAACCACTATGTTACAGATACGTACACCTTAATAGGGTTTTTTGCCCCCCCCCATGTACTTGGTGTGACACCACAGGATAAGCACTCAACCTCAAGGCTGGTTTGCACTGCAAGGTCAGCAGTTCAAACCCACCAGCTGCTACTCGGAAATCCTATACATGGTCACTTTGAGTTGGAATCATCTTGACAGCACTTAACGACAACACATACCTATTACTGTTTGGCTGAAAACTGGACCACGAGGGTAAGTTCCATTACAGACCTGAAGGGTATCAATACATCTTGATTGCATATTTGATCAATTTCAGACTAAAGAAGTCAGTAGAATTCTTTAATTTCATCATCACTGGCTTTAGTGCTTGATGTGTAAATTATTCAATAGTGGTATTAACAGGACTTCCTTGCAGGCATATGTATAATATCTTATCACAGACAGCACTGTACTTCAAGTCTGATCTTGATATGCTCTTTTTAATGATGAATGTGATGACTTTTCTCTTGAATATGTTTTTTCTGGTATAGTAAGCCATAGAACTTTCAGATTCAAAATGGTCAATAGCAATTCATTGCACCTTACTAATACCTAGGATATCGATCTTTATGCATTCCATTTCATTTTTGACAACATGAATTTTCTTAAGACTCATACTCCATACCGTCCATGCTCCAATTATTAATGTATGTCTGTAGCTGTTTCTCATCATTTTAAGTCATGCCTGATCGGAAAATGAAGGTTCTGAAGCTTTACTCCATTCATGTCATCATGGTCAATTCTACTTTGAGGATGCAGCATTTCCCTAGTTGTATTTTCTGTGCTTTCCAACCTGAGGAGTTCATTTGCTGGCACTGTATCTGACAATGTTCTGCTGCTGTTTACAAGATTTTCAGCGGCTAAATACTCAGAAGTAGTCAGCCTCTCCTTCCTAGTCTATCTTAGTCTGGACGCTCAGGTGAAAGCTACCCATCATGGGTGACCCTGATGGCATTTAAAATACTGGTGTCCTTGCAGTTCAAATGGCTTTGCAGTCTGGCACATTAACCCACAGCGCCACACTTGTTTGCCTTAAATTCACTGATTAAATTATTTTGTACTCATTTTTAAATCTCTACCATTTACTCAGTACCTGGTAACAGAAGCCACACATACACATATACTTGATAAATGACAGAGCAGAGAGATTGTACTGGGGAGGTGGTAAGGGATAGGAAGAAGTATTAAGGAATTAAGAGAAGGAAGACTTTAAAAAAGGTAATAGCAGTACTTTTCTCCAGGGAAAATAAAGAATTAGAAAGGACTTAGTATTTGGAGATTTAGTCTTCTATAACTTTGAGAAAACAGTTTTTACGTACAGTTTAGGAGTGAGCGGTGACTATAGAAAACCAGTTTTTAAAAAGGGTTTGGAAGTAAAAGAAAGTTGAAAAATGTTGTCAATTTGAGTAGGTAGTACAGCTGAAAGTTCTTGTAGTATATAAGCATTAATCATCTTTTCAGGCTAAAGAATAGAACTCTGAAAGGAAGATAAAAGAATCACCAATGAAGAAAAGTAGTAATAAGGGAAGGATGGACGCAGAGAGAAGTATTATCCATGCAGTGCTGCGTGTAATGTGGTGGACTACTAACTGCAAAGTTGGTGATTCAAATCCACCAGCTACTCTTGTAGGAGAACGATGAGGCTGTCTGCTCCGGATTTAGTCTTGGATATTATGAGTCAAAATTTCTTAATGCCAGTTTGTTTGGTTTGGGTTTTGTTTAGAAAAGTAGAAAGATTAACAATGTACTAGGGGAGAAACAAAGTTTAGTTGTCCTTTAAGATAAAGAAAAAAACATGAAATAAATCTTGGGAGACTAGGACACAGTCAAAAAGATATGATTTTTTTGAGGAAGTAGCTTAAAAAAAGACAGAATGCATGATAGTTAAACTGATGAGTTGTACTGTAAATTTCTCGCTGAGTGGTCTAAACCTCAAAGTTTGAGAAATACTGTCCTTTAAGAAACAGGCTCATCAGTGTATCATGAAGCAAAATTCAAGAATTAGAACAATTATAATGTACACTTATTTACAAATATTTTTTCATTAATAAAATCGTCATTACTTTAGAAAAATGGTTTCATGAATAAAATTCATGAATGTTCTAGAAGTCACTAAAAATAGTATTAATTTTATCATCAATTTATTCAAATATACTGACATATTAACTAAAGAGTAACTTCAATAATACTGACATCAGCAAAGGAAAGTGTAGAAACAGAAAAAGATACCTTAATAATGTTCTGGAGTACTTTCTCATTCACCACTGCTTTGTGACAGGCTGTTTTTTGATATAAATCCACAACTACTTCTAAAGACCTTTCAGCAAACGGTACATAATTCAAGGCTACCCACTCCGCCTAGAAAGTAATATTTTCACATGGAATTTAAAAAAAAAAAAAAAAAAAGATGAGGATTAATCATATTGCTTTCAAAAAGAAAACTGTGTCTAGTGTTTTCAAAGAGAAAACTTTTTTGATTTAAAATTCAGGCCTTGGTTTTAGGTCAGAGTATATCACATGCAAAGTTTTCAGAGAGATATGTATTTCATGAAAGCAATTTTCAGCCAGGCAAATATTAACACTATTCAAATATGCACACAGAAAATTCCATCAAGAACTGGGAAAGATGAATCTTATTTGTTGCCAATAGGTTAGGACAATTTTAGGAAATTAAACTCACCGGTGCAAATAGTTGGATCTATTGTGATTCCATTGTGTTGCAAGACAAATAGAATGAGAAAAGTTAATACATATTAAAACTACTTTTTGGACCATGTAAAATTAAAATTCTTATGTTGAGTGAACAAATCAGCATGTGCATGCATTCAGAAATGTACTTTTTCCTTACGTCAAAACAAAGTTAAAATTTGTCAACTATGGCCAGTAAATTTTTTAATGTAAAATCCAACTAAATTATCACACCAGTAGTAGACAACTTTTTCTTGAATATATAATGAATTTTTCACCTTGCATTACAGGCATCTATTTTAGATAAGATTACACTTGAAGATTTAGGAGCCTTTAGAGGCAATAAAGAAAGGGACAGAGGGAGTTTAATTTTTCAAGAAAGATTTGTTTTGGAGTAACATAAAAGGTCAAACTTACTAGAGAACACTTAAAAAGAGGAAAGTCATAGACAAAAACAGAAAACAAACACAAAAATGGTTTCTCAAATAATTTTTCTGTTCAGCTTAAATTGTTAAGAGACATATGAAAGTTTGTTTGTGAATGATAACTGTCATTTTCCAAGCTCTTCAAAGCCCATCTTAAGTGGAACGGACTACATTTACATGCCATGAGTAAATAATAATTTACCTGATTATATTTTGCATTTGCAATGTGCTTTGTTTCCAGTTGTCCATACTGTGGAGGTTTACAGGAAAATTCCACAAATGCCAGTAACTGGTCAAATATAGCTGGATACATTATCTGCATGTTTTCTGGTCCTACACAGATGGCCTGTAAAAACGAAATACATAATCTGAACTCCATGAATCCTTTTCTGTATATTTTGTTTATCTACAAAACCTTAAAAACAGTCCTATTTATCATTAAAGACATTTAAATTATTATCAGATAAAATGTGTTAATCAACCACAAAATTTCTTTTAATAGCAAAATGTGATTTATTGCTTAAGTGTTGAAAATATACAGGTACTTAAAGAGAAGTCCCAAGAAATCCTGAGGTTCTACAGTCTGATTGTTCATTAATATAGCCATCAGACCTCTAAAACAGTTTCAATGACCCAGAAGATACTGGCTTCTATCGAAGTAATACTAGTTCTCTGAAATGACAGTGAACTTTTGCCACCATGACCGGTCCACTGACTTCTAACAAATAATCATATATGTTGTCAGTGATTATTTTTTCTTTGTGGCAAAAATACTTAGGAGTATTATGTAAGGAGTGTCTAAAATATAATTATACTTTACAAAACAGAAACATGATCACTTTATGCTTGAAAAAAAAAAGTACTCTCAAATACTAAATAAAAATTTAAAGCATTTTAAGTTTTAAATCTGTGTACTTTATGTTTTTATGATATTCATGACTTTTTAACTTGTTGTTATATGCCATCAAGTCGGGTCTGACTCACAGCAACCCTGTGTAGAGTTTTCAAGGAGCAGCTGGTGAGCATGAACCACCGACCTTATGGTTCAAACCTACCTTGCAGTCCAATGCACTATCCCACAGCACCATATCAGGACTCCTTTAAATTGTGTTATTGTGAAATGCTGTTGAGTCGCTTCTGACTCATAGTGGCCTGTCTGATAGTGACCCTGTATATGGTTTCCGAGGAGCTTGAACCACTGACCTTGAATTCAAACGGACCTTGCAGTCCAGCGCATTAGCCTGTAGTGCCACACCAGGACTCCTTGTAACTTATCAGGTACCAATAAAAATTTATTTTTTCTCAAAGAAGATACAGCCATTTATTTAGCCATAACTGAATTATCAGATAAAACTGCCGTGACATATAAAGATCTAACTTCGGCTTGGGCGGCACTAAGCAAAATGCTTATATAACTACAATGTAATAACAGCTAACATTTACTAAATGTTTACTTGTACCTAAAGGACTCTGGTGGCACTTTATGATAAGCACTGGATTGCTAACCACAAGTTCAGAAGTTCAAACCCATTAGATGCTTCAAAGATGAGGCTGTCTGTTCCTGTAAAGATTTACAGTTACAAAAACCCCATGAATTAGAATCAACTCAATGTCAGTGAGTTTGGTTTTTGGTTATTTGTACCTGGCACTAAATGCCTTACAAGGTAACATCCCAGTTAATATATAAAAAGTTGTAGATTTATTATTTTCATTCCACAGATGAGGGAGTTGAAGCACACAAATACTTAAAAACTTGCTCTTAGAATGCTTTAGTGTGTTTATTTTCACCATAATTAAAAGCAAACAAACAAAAATCTTGCCCATAAGTACAAGACAGGGTTTCATCGCACAATTCCCAGGGCAACAGTCAGACAATGTAATGGCGTGTCTTCTGGAGTCTGTAACTCTAGGAACCTTAGCACTGGAAGTAGATAGGGTATCTGGCCATCCGACTTAAGCAAGTTTGGTGATAAGACAAAAAGCAGCTTCCTGGCTACAGAACTTAAAGTACAGTAGGTATGGAAAGTCAATAATCAAATTTCTATGTATACCAAACTATACTGGCAAAAAGAAAATGTCAATTTACACACATAACTAAGTCAATTTGTTGGGATCTTGTGATTTGAGAACCAAGGGAAGAGTATAAATGTGAAGTCTTAAGCAGTGTAAAGGTACTAAAAATAAGGCAGAAGACCCTATTTAGATAGGAAACATAGAAATATATTTTTCTTTTATGAAGGAAAATAGATTGTAATCAATAAAATGTTCTGCCTGCTAGTTTATCAGTTTAAGGATAAAGACCCAAAATATATAAACTTTGCTTGTGTAAACATTTTCTGATACCCGCAGAGGAAAACATAAACTTACTCATATTGCTAATAAAAAATTAATTTTTCTGCAAAGAAATGTATTATTAAATATATATACCATGTAGCTGAATCATAGTCAAAATGTGTGAAACATTATTTAGATAATCACATGAGCAATAAAACAAGTGCTAGAGTAAAAAATAATCATGCAAAATAATATCAATTGATATAAATGAATAATTAAAGCTTCCCAAGTTTCAGACTACAGGTATATATTGTTTTCAAAGCTATAAAAAGTTTGGAATAAATTCCTGATAGTTGGGATTGACAATTCCACTTATCTTCTTGCTTAAGCAGAGCTTAAAAAAAAATGAGATCACATGGCTGTGTGATCAGAGGGAGGTTATTGTGTTTTCTTTGCTTATTATAAGGATATAAAAGTTTGAATCAAGTATCTGACAGAGTTCTAGATTATGGGCATCCCATAAAAATAATGATTTTCTTTTCCTTTCTGATGAAAACATTAACTTTTTATTATTCCTTCTGGGGCAATAATAACATGGCTAATTCTGATGAGAAAAGTAATTGTTGAGAGGCTACTCTCCTGCCCCACTAATGACTTTGCTGTTGTTAAGTGCTGTTGAGTTGGTTCCAACCCATAGTGACCCTGTATAGAATTTCCAAGGAGCAGTTGGTGAGCTTGAACCGCTGACCTTGCAGTTCTACTGATTTTGCAGTCCAGTGCATTAACCCATAGCGCCACAACAACCACCACTAAGGATAAAAACAGCTATTTTTTATTTTAATTGTGGAAAACTGATCTGTCTACAACTCAAGTTATCTAAAACGCTGAAAATAAGAACACTAATGAAAAAAAATGACAATACATTCATCTTTAAAATACAAATATCCTACAAGTTATGAATGGAAGTCAGATATTACCAGTTAATAACAGCAGAAACTGGACATATTTCATTACTGACCATGTAACATTTATGACACTCCTATGTTGTTAGGATCATTCTAGGTACTATAGATGCAGAAAGAATAAAAGGGGAGGTGTGTGTAATTCTTGTACTATGAAGTTTTAAGATCTTCATTCTCCTACAAATATACGTAAATTAGTATGTGCTTAGAACACACTTAATGATAGAACAAAGAAGAAGGGGAATGGAAAGGAAGGAAAAGTGGAGAAAGAGGGAGGGAGAGGATAGAAGAAAATAAAGAAAGGAGGGAAGAAAAATGAAGAAAATTCAAGAAGCTAAGAAAGAAAATGGAAAGGAAGGAAAAAAGCAAGCAAAAAGGGAGAATGAAAGAAGTTAGCTTTAGATGAGTGAGACAATGGGGGTTAATCAGGATAACGCATATAGCTGCACTAACGACGCCACTCAGTTTCCCAGGAGCGCCTGACACTGTGATTATTCCTAACAGTGCACTGTCAAGGTGCTGACGATCCACTTGTATGTGCTTCATATATAACAATCAAGGCAATCGAAAACTTATTCTAATATATATACAGCAAAATAAATTCTGGAGAATTATGTGCATTAAAGTTTAGATATGTTGTTGCAAGGCAACCCTGTATAAGGTTTCTAAGGCTGTATATCTTTGCAGGAGCAGAAAAGCCTCATATCGTTCTCTTGAGGAAAGGTTAGTGGGCTTGAACTGGCAATCTTGTGGTTCTCAGTCCAGTGCTTATTGTAAACAGCCATAAAATTACATCCCTTTGGAATTGCCACCATCAGGTACAAATTCATCTGAATATCCCCTACAGTTCTAGTACTTGGGGATGAGTGATTTGAAGATGGTTGTTTCTTTTGAAAGTTTTTTCCTCTCATAATATTTCTTGATTTATAGCAGTAAACAGTTGTTAAAATTAGATCTAGGCCATCTTTGGAGCGAGCCTGCCTGAGGGAGCCAGCATTCACCGAAGACCCACCTGAAAGAGGGATGTCATCTGCATTTCCATTGAGGTCCCCCCGGCAAGAGCACCAACGAGCCAGCCACAGCAGAGAAGACTTTAAGAACTGTTTAACCCTTAGGGAACTGCTTAAACCCCAGAGACATTCTGCTGCTTTGCTTGTCG